TCCAAACTGATCCCACACATGTAGATGTAGGGACTTCCGCTGAGGTCGGAGACTGCGCTGAGCGCCCTATAGTGTTGGACTGAATGGAAGCACTTGTATTGTTACTTTTCCTGCCTACTCCTTGAGACTTGTCTCATTTGTCAAGGAGTCAGCCTGAACTGTACTTTGTCTTGGATGTGTACTGACGTGGAATGTGCAGGTTACAAGAGCCCCAACCAACCCTCCCGCGGGTGACAGACGCGGCGTGAGTCATAGGAGTTGTGTTGGAGGCCGGCAGAATTCTTCTACCGGTCGACAGTGGCGTCGTTGTCGGGGAAGGCTGCCTCTCGGGACTTTGGTCCGCCTGTAACCGCGGGTACGTGAGAGGACGAGATTGCGACGGACACCAGTACACGCTACGAGCGATCAACCACCGGTGGGCATCGGACGACGAGATACCGGGTGATGTGACACTTATCAGCTTGCGATCGACCCGGTGAGATTGTGATTTTTGCATTTCGTGATTTTGTCTTGCATTTCCTTTCTGCTATTTCCTTGTGATTTGAGAGGGTCCTTCTGATTTTTCCACCCCATTTATCAGTCCACCCTGATATCAATTCCTAGAGAGAAAATTGTAAGCAGGGGAAGAACTTGAAGGGTCTGAAGGGGAGGGGAGAAGCGCCCCGGATTGCAAGGAGATGGGCGGGATTAGATAGGCTAGCTGATCCTGATGGATAGCTGGGCGGGTTGATACACTACACGAGTCGGGGTGAGAGACCATGCCTGAGGTGGTGGGAACGAGTAGAGGCATGGATAGGAGTGAGGTTGCACGAGTGAGACACCACCCTCTTATCCGCGTGTGACTTCGGTCCACCCTCGAGCACATGAGTTGGCTGGCTCGTGCTCAGGTCGCGGTAAGAGAGGTAGGCCAGCGATGATGGTACACTGATCCGACCTCTTCCTTGACACGAGGGTAGGGGGAGATACGCCAGAGGGCGGTTCTCTCCTAGGACTGTTGACGTCTTGGAGGGTTGCAGGAAGGATCAGATGGGGCCTGTCGTGGGGGTCTATGAGCTCAACAGTCCGAGAGTCACACAGGGAGAGATTTATTGAGAGTTCCGCTTGGTTTCTTGATTAGGAATGGTATATATCAAGTCGGCTTCTCAAATATCCTTGGTCGTAGAGAGGGGCTCTTGCAACGTGATCAGCTTACCACTAGAAGGGAAGACCAAATACAGACCTACCAGAGAGGAGGGGTTAATAGTACGAGACGGTGCTTTCCTGTGGGTGAGAATAGAGGCCGAAACCAGGTCCTGTGTCAGGAGCGACAGGGAGGCGACGCCTTTACGAGCGGATGTGAGCGTGAGGCTGTACTTGAGAGAGTGGGAGTGTCTCGTGATAGATACTGCCAGGCGTTATCCAACTCTCCTTTGTTTGGCAGCGTTAGGACAGAGGTTTGGTGCCCGGATCTTTACAGAGTTCACTCAGGGGAGTGGAGTAGATACCGTTGCAGTCTACACTGTGAGGTTTGCATATGATTGGGAGCTTCCTAGAGCGACTTCTGTGAGGTCGGAGACGGTCCCTAGGTTTTTGACGGGGCTGATTTTCGGTACCGGAAAGGTGCACCAGAGACTTTTAGAGGTAGTACAGAGAGCGGTCCGACTGGGGACGTCTACTGTTGAGCTTGCGTGGCTCCTTACTTATTGCTTGGACAGGGCTGTTCCCACTCGTAGAGGGCTACGCCGTATTGTGTTTCGCATCCGGGAGGAGCTACGAGAGGCCGAGATAAGTGGAGAGGTAGATAGGGCCCGGATGCTGAACGGAAGGGCGAACGACGCCTAGATGTCGCACTGTAGGGTCGAGCACCCGGTAGAATTGGGACAGTTCGGATACAGAGAGCCGAAATTTGTGGACGAAGATTGGGTAGAGTTTACATTACCAGGTAGATCAACTTTGGTGGCAGGCGTCGGCAGAGTGGACAGCTCCTGGAGGTCAATATTGTTGCGGTCGGGCGTTTGGTTGTTAGTGGTGCCGCTTGTGGATTTCGATAGAGATAGACGAGGGAGAGTGGTTCTGGGATCGGTGGACTTGGCGGTCAAGGGTTTCCTTTACTACCAAACGTCGGAACTCTCAGAAATCATTCGTAGGGCTGTGGAGCAAGGCACGCGCGATAAGAACTTTGGGATAATACCTAGTCTTGATCAGTATACGTGGGAGGACGAAACTCCCGCTATAGGCATACTTCAGGAGGTGGTGGAGAGATACCGGGAGGAGAAGCTCCGCTTAAGAGGAGCATTTAGATCAGTCACGGCGTCCCTCCGTCTAACCCGGGGAGGATCTTTACCACACTCAGAGAAGGCATTAAGGCTCCCCATTCCGCTATTTGTCTTGGAGAAATATCTTGGAGGACTTGACCGGTTGGTCCAGCTACACCTAAGTTTTATGGAGATCCAGGGTCTCCTACACAATGGTGACGAACACCACGCCTATTACGCTCTCTGGAAGGAGGGGCCCCGATTTGGTATCGAAGGTCTAGAGCTAGTTGAGCTGATTAGGGCAGCTTCACCTAGGAGCTTGAGGCAAGCACCTGACCAGGATCAACCGGTCGAATTTTGGGCTACCTTCGAGAGGGGTATACAGGAGCCCCAACCAACCCTCCCGCAGGTGACAGACGCGGCGTGAGTCATAGGAGTTGTGTTGGAGGCCGGCAGAATCCTTCTACCGGTCGACAGTGGCGCCGTTGCCGGGGAAGGCTTCCTCTCGCGACTTTGGTCTGCCTGTAACCGCGGGTACGTGAGAGGACGAGACTGCGACGGAGACCAATACACATTACGAGCGATCAACCACCGGTGGGCGCGGGAGGCGGCTTCGGATACTGAGAGCTCGAGTACGGTTCCGTGGGACAGACGGGCTCGGTACAGCCGACATCAAGTTGCAAGGAGGATCCGG